TCTCCCCTGGCATCAGCCCGCACCCATCCCAAAGCTCCCCTGGCATGGGCCTGCATCCCTGTCCGGAGACCAACCCCTGGCGTGGGCCCGCACCCCTGTCCCGAGGTCGGCCCCTGGCGTGGGCTGCGGGCACTGACAGCGTGTCCCCGCAGCTGAAAGCACACGCCGTGGACATGAACGGGAACAAGGTGGAGAACCCCATCGACCTGTACATCTACGTGATCGACATGAATGATAACCGGCCCGAGTTCCTGAACCAAGTCTACAACGGCTCTGTGGCCGAGGGCTCCAAGCCAGGTGAGCGGGGACCCCCAGCCCGAGGAGGGCACTGGGGGGGCCGGGAGCATCTGGGGGGGCCCCATGGCCAGACCCTCAGCTCCCCAGGACCAGGCACCCACCAGGACTAGAGGCTGCTCTCCTTCAGGCCGGGCACCATCCATCCCTGCGAGGGAACACGGCACCTCTCAGCCCGGGAGGGTGCCTCGCCCCGTAGTGATGAGGGGAAGGGCCTCTCCGCGCCTGGGCGCTGTCCCAGGCTGGGGTGGGGCAACATGCCCCCTGGGGTGGCAGGTGTAGGGACTCAACACCAAGACCAGGCTCCTGCCCTCGGATCGGTACCATCCCTGGCGACCCCGTGACCCCACAGAACACGGTGGTCTCGCCTTGTCCCGGGGCTGCTGCCGTGTTGTTAAGGGGCCTCTGGGCCAGCCCCACTCACAGCCCACGAGGGACAGGTGGCAGCAGCACAAAGCTGCCACAGCCGCTCGCTGCCACCTGCAGTTTGCCAGCCCTTCCTCCCTCATCCCTCTGAGCAGGTGGGCGCTCGGCCTTAGCTTACTGCTCAGCACAAACTGTATGCCCCCTCCTCCCAGAGCGCTGAAACCCAGCCTCGTCTTTCCCCCGAGAAGCGGCTGCCGGGCTTGCAGCACCGCGGGCTCCTGGCACATCAGGTGCTGTATACGTGCTGAGGGCAGCCGGGCCGACCCGAGATGGTGTTTATCTGACGTGCTAATGAAGCCCGGCCCTGTGTGCCCCCACCCAGGGCTCTCTGCTCTGGAGGGTGCCCTGCCCTGGGAGGGGTACCTGCCCACCCACAGAGCCCAGAACCAATGCCCCTCAGGTTGGAGGCCCCCTCCGGACAGGCAAGCGTGTACCAGGGCGCCGCCCGCCGGGGGAGGCTGCTGTGCCTGGCTTGGCGGAGTTCCAGCCAGGCGGACCAGATGCCCCTGGGTTGTCTTTTGGGGTCTTCCAGAGGGGGAAAGGACCACATGATGTTAGGGCATCGCATCCTGCACATCCTGTGTAGCTGGACCCGGCGGCCCACAGGGCAGGGACAGGCCCCTAGAAGGCCCCAGCTGGACGGGAGCCCATGGGGGGTGCCTGTCACCAGAAGGGGCCTCTCACCCCTGACTGGATGCTATCCAGAGGCACTGCCTCTCAGGCCTTGCCTGCGGCGCATGAGCGCTCACATACACACACCACACACCGCACCAGGTGGGGGCGGTGTTACTCACTCAGGGACAGAAGCACCCATGGCTGCCCGGCTCTTCCACAAAAGCCCTGCGCCGACCAGTGGGCTCCGCTAACCTCGCTGGACGGCCGAGGGCTGGACGGGGCAGGCTGGAGACCCTCAGCAGCTGCTCCCCGGGCAGCCCTCTCGGGCCCCCTGCCTAAGGTCCCCGGTCCACAGAATGGTGCACGCCCTGCCACCCAGTCGATGCCATAGAGACCCTCCAGCAGGCTGGGACTGCCCCCATGTGTGTCCCAGACGTGGTAGCTCCTGACGGCCGTAGAAAGCCTCGTCTCCGTCTGGCGCAGCGGCTGGTGGCTTTGAACTGCTGCCCTTGAAGAGATCGGCCGACATGTGACCACCCCAAAGGCGCCCCGTGCCTCAGCGGGTTAAGCAAACCCAAAAGCTGGAGGTGCGAGTTCACCAGCCGCCCCAGGGGAGGAGGCCTCTGGGAAGATGGCTAACCAGCCCACCCCCTTCCAGGGTTGCACCCAATGCGCGGCCACCCTTCACGACCAAGGAGGGCCTCAATCTTTACGGGAGCGGAGACCCTCACCTTCTCCCTCAGAGGGGGTGGTGAGTGTGAAGTGCTGACCAGGCAGTCAGCACAGCGCACAGCCCCCTACCACCATGGCTCCTCCCTGGGCAGCCACAGGCCAGTTTTACCGGCCCTCGGGGTCACTGTGGTTTGGAGTGGACCCGATGGCAGAGGGGTTGGGTTTAATCTGTCCCTTCTCCCTTCAGCCTCGCTACCAAACTCAGGCAGCCCCCAGGCCACCCCTCACCCTCACCCCGCTCCCTCCAGCCTTGTAGCCTGGTGCCCACCTGCTAGGACTTTCTCCAGAGGTCAGAACCGGTCTGCATCCAGGGCAGGGAGGGTTCACCTCTGTCCTGGCCCCAGGGCCACACCGCCCCAAGAAGAGGCGGCTGCATTCAGAGGGCTGCTCTCCCAAGGAGCGGTCCTTTCCCTGGGCCCCGCTGGCCGCAGCGGCCCAGCCTTCTATGTTTCCGAATGAATGTCGCCCTAAAACATTAGCTAGCTGGGAAAGCGCGGTCCACTGTGGAAGCCACAGGGACCCTCTCCTGCCCGGCACGGAGCTGCTGCTGGAACGTATTGTATTAGCGGCCCTGCTTGGTTATTTATTTTATTTCTGTACGGTGGAGGCACCCCGGCCCCCACGAGATGAACACCACGGCTGAATGCACAGATGGTGCCCGATACTTGAAAGTCATCTGAATATTAAGAAGTTAAATCTTTACCCTCCGTGGTTTGAGCAGAAAGCCAATTATGGGGCTGAATTAGTTTTCAAATTAAACTGCAATTTAAGGCTTGTGAAATTAATCCTCGAAGGCGCCCGGGGCATCGGTACAGGCTTGCGTTCTGTGCGGAGCCAGCTGGGGGGGCCCCCGCCTGCCCGCCCAGTGCCCGTGCAGACAGTGAGCGCAGAGGTGGCCCCACTGCGTGCCCCCCAGAGCACCTCGCCTTCTGGGTGGGAGTTGGGGGTGCGAGGGACTTTCTGCGTCATCGGGAGTGCCCTGGTGGGGTCCCACAAGGCCGGCAGCTGCTCCTGGGGGAAGGATAAGACCTTCTGTTCCTGCAAAGAGCTCACTCAAAGTCCCCAGGGCCAGTTGGATTGTCCGGTTTTCTCGTTGTTCTCAGTCGGGTTCCATTGCTGGAGGGCTGTTAGTTGGGTTGTGGGGGGTGTGGGGTGTGGTTGTGTTTTAGGGCTCCCTGTGATGGTGCTTCCTGCGTCTGGTGGACACTGAAAACCCCAGGTCCCAGATTTCACCCCACAAAGCAGAATAGACCCTACCCTGCTGCTGTCAAGAGAATTCCAGCTCACAGGGAGCCTGTGGGACGGGCAGAGCTGCCC